ATTTCCACACCGTACCAGTTACTAAGTGTATGGCTGAGTCGACCTAGGGGAGGCCCGGGACCGGTTCACATAATCGTCACCGGTGTTGACCGTGAGTGGGAATCTAACTCGAGTCGCTGGGTTCGTACGCCACCGCTCCCCTGGTACAAATACAAACACACACACTCACAATTAAAAAAACATCTATTTAATTCAGTTAGATAATTACAAGGGGTTAATTCCACGTGGAATGCTTCCGGGACCCACCAACCCCGGCTGCTGGGTGGGTGAGAAGGGAGAGAGATATTTTCAGGAGCTCAGCACTGGACAGCTCCAGCTTCGAAATTCCTGATTTCGCCGTACAAACTGCACTCATCTATGCGCTATCAAGGACCAATGCTCTCGTAATGCCACAGTTTTTTTGACGGATGTGTTGTGTTTATTTGTATTTGTGCAGCATCACCAAATACAAAAATTAAACGAAGCTTCTATTGCAATTAATTCAGTGTACAAAAAATAGCCTTACAATAACCACTCACGATGTATACTGAAGCCACACATCGCTAATATATTATGCAGTTTGTAAAAAAAAACACAGGGTACAGCGTATTAAAGAAAGTTAGTGTGTAATTATTAAAATAATAAAGACAACACTGTAGTGGAGTCATATTAAGATATAACTACAATACAGCATTAACACGAACACTATAACCTGCACACATTACTGTTACATATACTGCATATGCACAGGAGGTATGAACGGGCAGTCTACAAAACGAGCAATACAGCACACAGAAGCATCATCACAATCATCACATATGACTGTCAAATATCACAGCACCCCATCCACACCACGATACAGCCCCAACAATATACCACCTACTCCTCTGCACCTTATAGGTATCGTGGTGTAACACAACACACACGCCATGTACACCCCACTACCACACACCCTGATGTGCAACTGATGACATTAAAAAAAACACAACCGAGTGTACTGTGTTGTATTGTGCGTGAACGCTGATAACAAAAATACAACAGCATCGTCGTCATCCGTGGTGGTGGGTGTACAGCGTGTACAACTTACGGGCTTTGTGCACGCGTTCAGTGAGAGTGAGTGAGTGTGAGAGAGAGACAGTGGTAGTGGTGGCGGTGGTGGTGGCGGTGGTGGTGAGTGCGGGTGGGTAGGAGCGAGGCCGAGTGCGTGCGTGCGTTGTGCGCACGGCGCGCGAATAAATCCACTGCCCCCCCTCTCCTCCTCCCCCACTCCTTCTTCCCCTGCCCCCCTCCTCCTCCTCCCCCTGCCCCCCCTCTCCTCCCCCTGCCCCCCCCCCTCTCCTCTTCCCCCTGCCCCCCCTCTCCTCCTCCCCCTGCCCCCCCCTCTCCTCCTCCCCCTGCCCCCCCCTCTCCTCCTCCCCCTGCCCCCCCCTCTCCTCCTCCCCCACTCCTCCCCTACTCCCTCCTCCTCCTCCTCCCCCCCTACCCCCCTCCTCCTCCCCCCCTGATCCCCCTCCTCCCCCCGTCCTCCTCCCCCTACCCCCTCCTCCTCCTGCTCCCCCTCCCCTGCTCCCCCCTCCCCTGCTCCCCCCCCCTCCCCTGCTCCCCCCTCCCCTGCTCCCCAGCAGCGAGGCGGATACTAATGTAGCAATCGGCGGCCGCATGCCGGCCGGGCCGGCGTGGCCAGACCAGAGGGTTTTCCCCCCTCTGTCAACTCTCGCCTTGCCCGAAGATTTGGGGCAAAATGATTGTCGATGGCACCTGGGCCAAGATGCACCGTGATCAGCGGTGGTGGAGTAGCGGGCAGCGCGCTACTGAATCCCACCACGCTCGAGTTCGATTCCCGTTCACGGCCACCCCAACATCAGTGATGGTTAAAATAATAAAAATAAAACATAAAAAAAAATTCTCACGACGTTTCGGCCACAACGCAAGCCGAAACGTCGTGAGAATTTGTTTTATTTTTATTATTTTATTATTTCCCTTCTACGTGACTTTACCGAAAGAACCAAGAAGATGAATCCCTGCAGTCACGAAAGCTTTACATCAAATTTAAAAATCAGTGATGGTTGTCTGAAGCGGTCCCCCTGAGATCGATTCAGCCTGGCCACCCTCGTGTGCTGTGCTGGCCTTATAGGTGCTCGCTAACAGCACTTGTCCCAAAAGTTGGTGGAGGCTATAATGGGGGGTCTTTGTCTTTGATGATGGTGGGGAGTAGTGGTGTGGGTTGTGTTGCTACTGGTTCATAAACCTTAATTCTCTGGCTTCTCCATGTGCTGTGAAGAAGGTCCTTTGGTGGTGTTGACGAATCTGTTTTTTTTTTAAATATCGGTTAGTAAGTTTATCTATCCTGCCTCTATATTTGTGTGCTATGAAGGTTCATTGGCCGAAACGTTGCGAAATATTAGATTTTTCTTTAAGGAAATGTTATTGACGAATGTGTTGGGTGAGTAGGTGGCCTTGTAAATAACATGGCTTCAGCCACGTCAATCACCCCACCACATCCCATTCATTGGTGAATTGAACCATAGTACACCGGCTCTCGCATAATGTCCTTGATGCAGTCATGTATATTCTGTTGATGATCCACGATGCGGCAATCGATTCCTCTCGCAATCGTCCTCGCTGCATTTCGACATTGCGGAGTGGCACTGATTTCGGATTGAGTCGTACCACAGTCCAGGAGTTAAGTAACACCCATGGACAAAATAGTGTCCCTGAAATAAAGTATTGAATTGCCTCGACCAATTTGTGTTATTTGGGACCCCAGGGTACCGCCATAAGGATCAATTGTCATTTTTCACCGTCACGATGTAATTCAAGAATACGGTGGACAACTGTTACCTCGTTTTGTACCGTCTCGTTTGTATTCTCTCGTTTTTTACCGTCTTGTTTTTGTTCGCCGTCTTAGTTGCATTGCCGGTGTAATTTCTCCTGCCTTGGTTATATAATTTCTATATTTTTTGCTACTCTACGTATTGGTTATATCTATAACCTATGTTTTGTCTTTGGTTTATATTGTGTATTGGTATTATCTGCCCCATTCTATTTGTCTCCAATATATGATTTACTTTATTCTTTGTACTGGTTTGTATTTTCTGGTAGATCGGACATGTTCCGTCTTGTTTCGTCGCATTAATCTACAAGCGGCGTGATTACAGTACAGCATTTACATATCAATTGCAGACATCACAAATAATATTTTCTTATACGAGTAGAATCTATGCTTTTAAAACATGCTCAGATTGTAGATATGAACTTTAGATTAAAGGGTATTTTACTTCAGGTTTTTCTACCCTGCTAAAATAATATGGGTACGGTAGTTTTTTTTCGCTCAAACGAGCGCGGGGTGGCATTCGTCTGCTGTTTACAGCTCAAATCCAGTGGTGGGACTTCCACATTCCTATGGTCACGGTCAGTTCGTCCATATGACATATACTGTACCATACTTGTTGATTTCCCAATAATGTGTACTGTACAGTACTGGGCTTTTCATCCAACTTCATAGAATAAATGTAGACTGTACCTGAGTAACCATTTCCCTAACGTAGCACAGGTATGAAAGTTGGCTAGGAAACCAAACATTGGAGGCCTCTACTACAAGATATTTTCTGAGTATAAAATGTGGCTAGAATTTTTTTAGCAGGGTGTATTACAATGAGGGGTGGTGTAAGTGCCATAAACTGGCCGACCAGAGAGTTCAGTTCCAGGCCACGGCTAAAACATCAGTGGAAAGTGACATTTGAAACGGCCCCATCAACCCCATCTCACCCACACACGTTACCAGCACGCACAAACCACCGTGGGTTGAAATATGCTCAAATAACCACCAAACAGTGGTTTTACAAGGGGCTGTAAGTTACATCTGCCAGGTTCTATCCACTTTTGAATTAAAGCTTGCCACATTCGTCATCTTCAATGATCGAGTGAGGAATCAGCTTAAGCAGCATATCTCATTTATTTCACCAGGTTAGGGGCCATCCATTTAGTACGTACGCATGGAGGGGAGAGGGGGGGTTAACCCAAATGATATGCTTGCATATGGGGGGGTCTAATTTTTGCGTTCCTACTAAACGGATGACCCCTTAGGCCCACTCTTTTTCAGAACTAACCTAGCAACAAATGATAGCCCAAATGAAGCGGCGTATCATGTGGTCATTCATAGCAGACAAATACTCCAGACGCATGTTTCTAAATGTGGAGGGAAACGCCGAAGGACCTCGGAGACAAATCCAACGCGACCACGGGGAGAGAGACACGCAAACTCCAAAAATACAGCAGGCATTGTCAGGTTCGGGATCGAACTCACGACCTCCTGTGTACCAGGCGAGGTAGTTAACATCTCGCCATGGCGAGGCTCTACATAGCTCTGGTGAAAATACTAACAATTATCGTCCCTACTTTGTCACTCCATCTCAAATATTTTCTACAACTGCCCATAATCCCTCCAGATGTGTTATTTTGAGCCCAACTTTGCAGCTTCTTTTTTTTTATTAAGTTAAACTATTACCTGTAATTATTTACAGGTGACACATTGTACCCTATACAAAAGTTGGCCTTGGTGTATTTCGTTAAAATTTTTAGTCTAGAAGGATTGTTTTAATTAAGTTTATGTACGTTTTTATTACGCAGCATAAATCTAGAATAAATTGTATGTTGAACTTCTTTCGCACCGTACACAGGCAACCGTGCTAATCGTGAGCGCGATTTACGTCAGAAACGTTAAATTATTCTCTAATTCTCCACGTATGGCCATAATCACCCCAAAAGTGCCCTATTCTGTCAGTCCCCCAAAGCTAAGCAGGTTTGAACCTGGATAATAACACTTGGATGGGGAAACCTCCATGCACAAAAAAAACAGGTAGAATAAACATTGTTGGGCAGTAGCGGGCAATGCAAAATAAATCCTTTGTTATTTTATACCCCACCTCCACCAAGCCAGAGTGATGAGAAGTGGTGTGGGGCAAATGACCTTCGCCTGAGGCTGCCCTCATCCAGCAGTGGATTGTCACGCACTCGAAGGGGCAGCAGCTGCAGAGCGGCCATCATCGCTTAATCCGCCCACTCCGTGACGACTTCGGCGCGTCGACGGCGAGAAATCTCACAAAGACAAAAGACGACAAATATCACGCTAAGTCCACTCAAAACAAATCCCGCTCGACAAACGCGCTGAAATTTGTTGCTATTTAATGCGCCGTCGTGACGGATGTCGGCGGATTGCGTTCGCTTTGCCCGGCTGCTGTTGGGGGTTGTTCCCCAAATTGACTACGTAACGAGGTCGGCCATATTGGGCCTAACACTGCAGCAACCGTGCCGTGTAAGACGTTAACCATTGCCGATACACAGCAAGACGCACAGATGAAAGGCAGCCTGCAGGTGCTCCACAGGCTCGCGGGCCACCAGGACAGAGCGTGGTCGGTGGCGTGGAGCCCCGGTGGAGCTCTGATCGCCAGCTGCGGGGGAGACAAGACGGTGCGAATTTGGGGCAGGGAAGGTGAGGGCATCGGATAGTGGAGCGTACGGGGGTGCGGGCACCATTTTCCGGCAAAGCTTCTAGGCGAGGTCGGTGCTTTGGGGCCCAGTGAACCCACACGCCGCGGTGAATGGGCATCACCGGCCAGCCGCGGTCAATCCACTGCTGGATGAAGGGCCTCCTGAAAGCAGTCACGTTTCACAATCACTTGCACCTTCCGCGGTGGTAAATGTACAAACATTGGCTCTTCGGACTTGTATATCTGGCGGTGTTATATTGTGCGCACTGCAATTGCGCTGTGGGTTCCTGTGCAGTGCTGCGTAAGCCGTCGCTAGAGGGTGGCGCGGTTTAACTTTAAAGTGGTTCACAGACTTCGCGCTGCTTGACGAACACTAAGTGTGTAACCTGAGTTTGATTCCCCGTCACGGCTAACATCGGCGGCGAGTGATATTTTGAACAAGTCCTGAGCACTCCCCCTATTGATTTAACCCGCATTGACCATCCTGGTGAAGTATGGTCAAACGGCCCCCATCGCCGCCGTGGAGAGAGAGTTCTTGCACTGGATTGACACATTAGTTACGCATTTTATGCACCAGCGTTACACTCCACAAGTTACTCGGTTTGGCATAATGCTAAATATAATCTGCACGGTACAAACCTTTTATGCTGACCCTGTGAATATTCAAAATCGGAATTATTGTAGTGGAGGAATCTGAAGAGCTATTAAGCGCTTTCACAGATAAAATACATCACCCGGCCTAGTTTTCCCGGGCACAAAAAATATATGCTGCAATGATTTGTCTTGCAATGAACGTAGATTAGTTTATGCATGTGCCAAATTTCAGCTTTAGAGCCCTTTCACAACGTTCAATTTGTGTCCACGATAATCTGAATAGTTGCTTTCATACCGCACTGGAATAACTGTTTAAGAACATTGAAAGCTGAAACTGGGTTCTAAAGGGGTTTTCATTGTATGATGTCTATTTGAGAAAATAAGTGTTACGAACATCTATAGAATTAAACAATACATGTACTGCATTGTTGTACAAAAAAAATAATCCCACTCAAATTAAGATGTAGTGAATGACAATGTTTTTTAATTCACGTAAGTGGAGTAATTTCTTCGTCCAGTGTTTGATACATTATTCATTGTACCCTACATGACTTAGATATTTCCCCCAAAATTGTATTACAGTACATAATAGCACATTCTCCAAATCCATGCACGTTTCTTTAGTGATGTCTACCTTTGGGTTACGAAAGGATAAATCATGTTTTATTTTGAAACATTGGTCAGTAATCAAATGTAGTTTTTTTTACATTTTCTTTTCTTTTACCCCCACTAAATTGTTTAAGTTGTTTTGAGATGTGGTTGTAGACGCTTTAGAAATCCAAATTACATCATTTGTATTGCTTTGACATTTTTACTTAACATTTTATAGAAAAATGCAATATAACCATAGGTTTTATTCTTTAACAAGGATTGCATGGTGACGGTTATCTGTTTATATATTGCCGAACCAATTGTGGACATGTCTTTTCACAAAATGGTACTCTTTTCGCTACCTTCATTGTAATAAGACGTAGGAACCTGATTGTGTGTATATTTTTGTATTTACTATAATTTGAAGAAACGTATTGTTTTGTCTACATTCCTAGTTCTTCCATAGGTCTCCCTAGTAACAGACTTGTGTCAGTGAGATGTCACCTTGCTTCGTGTATTTAAAGCTGCACTATTTATCCCAACAAAGTCTAATTCTAATTTCAAAAATAACTTTACACCTTTGCCATGAAAAAAAACCCAACGTACTTAATGAGCAATAGCTAAATTTACAAGTGCAGATCATGTCAGCCCAACTAAACGTATGAAGTAATGAAATTGAAACACCTTTGAGAGTGTAAGACCCACTTGCATTGCTTTCAGTATTTAAAACCTAGAGGTAGGGCAATTAATTAAACACGTTGCAATTGTGTGAATTTGTTATCACATTGTCATAGGTGAATAATGCCCTGTTGTCCTGTAGATGTTTAGTGTGGCCATCGAAGAGCGTTTAATGTAGCGGGATCATTTTCGTTATGGTCAGCACAGTGTTCAATTGCCAGCAATTAAGTTAATGCGCCTAAGTGCTATTGATTATATCAAACAGGGAATTCATGTCCAATAAATGAGTACCTTTCTCCCGTGCGTATATAATTATGGCATTTCTTTTTTCAATAAATCGTTGGCTAGACCCTTCTTTGGTAAATAACTGCCTTGGCAAATTATACATTCACTCCATTTATCTAAAAATTGTATTTCAGGGTAATGGCTCAACCAGGTATAAGAGATGCATCTCATTCATGAAGTTGGCCAAAGTTTGGACAATAGTGGATCTTCATCGTACGATTCATAATGATAAGAACATCTCATTATCGCATGATAATGAAGAACAAGAGTCCCACCCTATCGTTTACCAAACCAGTGGCGGTGTCTGTTATGATGTGCATGGGTGTTGCAGGCGATGGCTGGGTGTGCCGCTCGGTTCTGGCCGACGCTCATCAGCGCACGGTGCGCAATGTGGCTTGGTCTCCCTGTGGGACCCGCTTGGCCTCTGCGAGTTTCGACGCTACCACTTGTGTGTGGAGCCGACGCGACGGTGATTTCGAGGTGTGCGTGGAGAGCATTTGCGGACCTACGCAAAGCATCGCACATGGAAGTCTACACACACCTTACACAAGTACACTATGCTTAAATGTCAAGTAGTTTTTTTTAAACATAGGTAGAAGCAAAGTATTGTATTTTTAATTGGTGGTTTAAGTTGTGCATAAAATTAGTTTTTGTGGTTTATGATGATGGAAGAATAAAGGAATAGGTGATGATAGAAAACCAAGAAGAACAAGGATTGAGATTGAACAAAGCAGCAATACTGGCGACAGAAAGAGAACCTTGCCAGAGATATGTTTGGCCTCATTTTTGCTAATGAGATGATGGAAGGAGCAGACGATGATTGTATCTCTATATTTTAGTTGTTTCAATCTGGCAAGGTGGCTCAATGGTCGACTGAGTGGACACAATCGGAAGGTTACAAGTTTAGTTCCTAATTGGGGGTTGACTAGGCCCATTTTCATTCTAGAGTCAGTGAAATTAGTACCATCCTGTGTGGAAGTCTACATTGGATATCTTATGGATGCATTCCTTGCCCCTGCCATAGGTATGTGGAATTTCCACCACTGCCTCAGGGCTATAAATATGAGATGAGCACCACATTCATGTTTATTTGAGCTGGAAATAAATATAAATAGCCACTGTATAAGACCACTATTTGTCCAGTCAATGTGCTATCACTTGAAAGCACGCAAACACAATGTACCTCCAGAAATTAGCTTGTCTTTAATGGATGCAACAGTGTTCACCATTTGTTCTTCATTCATTCAAGGTGACTGCGACTCTGGAAGGACATGAGAATGAAGTCAAGGGCGTGGCCTGGGCTCCATCAGGAAACCTGCTGGCCACTTGCAGTCGTGACAAGAGTGTCTGGATTTGGGAAGGTGTGCATGCCCAGCCTCAGCAGCTGATGGCTTCCATCTCACTTTGTTGTTTTAAGTAGTGTCAAGATCACACGAGAAGCCCACCGTGTATAAGGAGGCTCACAGCACCAACGTATGAGGTCAGGCACAGGGAGTGATAAAAAAAATAGTAACAAAAATTAAAAAAGCATTCGAGTTTGGTATGCAAGTGAGATACCAGTCCCCAATGCTGGATGTGCAGAAGGCATCCGCAGATACCCCAAGTGAAGTCACCGGTTGAGCTTTGTATAGCCTTTCTTTCTGCAGATGCCTCTTCCCGTGCAGGTCACCGATTTGAGTTTTTCCAAAAAGTTTACGCCATTGTGGCAGATTTGCTGCAATTTAATTGTATTTTTCTTCATATGTGCTTACATCAGGCTTGGTGATAATTTCACGCCCATTTATATGCCTTTTTAGTGAATTTACAAAAATATATGTTGATGGAATGTTTAGATTCCAGGTGCAAGCAATCATTTAAAGTACAGTTAAACCATAATACTAGTGCATAGTACTTAAATGTAACATTTATATTTAGTGCATTTTGTACAAAGAGTTGCTTTGAATTGACCACAGACCCTATTAGTCTAATCGCATTAATCCAACCTGCTTAGCTTTACAAGTCACATGTGTCTGCGTGTCTGCCACAAATGATGTGGTCGTTTTAGTGACCAGACAACATGTCGCCATCGCAGATCCCACCTTGAGACCCAAAGTATACAGAGGGTTATTTTGTAGGGAAATATTTCTCACCATCAGTGTATACAGAGGGCCACCCACTGCGTGGAGTGTTTTCAATAGCACGCGATTAAAAAACAAACCTAAGTTAAATATAGTGTTGTACCTAATTATTTGCAGAGCAGTGCCAACAAAAAGCAGTGAAAGGCGTTCATTTGAATTTCCTGCAGTTTATGTGTGACGGAGCCAGGGGACCCAGGTATTTTTGCAATCAGTGGCACTCCCCATTCTGTCTGCGGTGAACAAATGAAATCTCCTGCCTTGACGTTTGCATTAGACAGGAATAACATCCTTTTAAGATAAACAGTTAGTAATTACAACAGTATTATATGTATACCGTTTCAACGGGCTGTACGCTGTGACCTAGAAAAGCTGGATATCGGTCTTTCCTCATCTATATTTGTTTAGCCATATTCTAGCATTCCTTTGCCTGTCTCTGGACCACATCACTAAAGCCAGAGAGGTCTCCTGATGACATACGAGTGGGGCGTCGCAGTGGGCTAGCAGCTCCGACATGTCATATGAAATCACGTGGCCCTCGCATGCGTGCTCCATGTCAGACATCGTACCGTGTCTCTCGCCGCCAATTATCGGGAGATGCTGGAGGATCTGCAACGGTAATGCAGCGCGACCAACTTAATTTAACAGCTTTCAAACCTCCACCCACCTTCCTCCTCATCCCCACCACCCACCTACCAATCGTGGAGGTGTCTGTTGTTCCCTTACATCGACACCAGCAAGCACTTGCCAAGTGTTATTTTCAATAGACTCAAACGCATTGGGAGTTGGAATCTACCGGTGGCAGTCGGGCATGCTGTGAATTTTTATTTTATTTTTCTCCAGCATTTCATCAGATAATCGAAATTTGTTATATTTATTTTTTTCCATGATACTCATCTAGTTTAGAAGTATATTTTTTGTTTATACAAAGTAGTAATTTTTACATTACCCGATGGCTTTTTTTTCTCGTTTCAACATTGGAGTTATCTTACCCAATTATCACCTTGCACTTTGTGCATCGGTTATGAGATCACTTTGCGGATACTGTTGGTGCGGGTTTGAGGATAAGCAAGGAGGACAATTTGATGCCGTGTTTATTGCGAGGGAGCTTTTGGCGACAGCACTCGCACGCCAAGATACGCGCACACACACGCAGTGCGCAGTGCCGACAAATGCCCAGCAGAAAGAGCCGTATGAATGAGCGCGGGGAGATCTCTGCTGACACTTGCCACACGCCGTATGCTGCAGCAATATTTACAACCAAAATGCAACTGCTAATTACTGTTACATCGTCCCAGTCTAATTACCGTAACCAGGGGGCTTGTTAGTTACTTCTGTGTAATTAAATTACAAATTGGGTCTTTAGTCAAACAGCGCATCACAATGCATCATGTCATTAGTGCTTCAATTATCACACGCTGCTCTTAATTAGACCACATTTAATTATTATATCTTTGCATATGCAAATGGTAATTAAATCGGTGCTGCTGTGTGTGTAATTGGTAGACCTTTTTTTATTGCCACAGATTTGAAGTGTATATGATTAATTTAAGTAAGAAATTAGGTGATGCACATTTGAGAATATTTTAAATTAAAACCGTGGAAATAAGTAGTTAAAGCAGTTATTCCCCGTAGAGTCTTTTTTACAATAACGTTAAAAGTGTTAAACTATATTCATTGCTATTTTTAGTTCATGCATACTACATTAAAGTAGTTTTTCAATGATTTATAAGTTACAGTAAATTGTATGACTCAAATAAGCCACTCATAAGCAGCTTACACTTACCTGACATCCGTACCTTACGATTGATGGTGTTACATAATTTCAACATTTTTCACATTTCAATTCCCCGTTGGAATTAATCCACGGCCCGAGTTGTGGGTGATACTTGGCGCGTATTAACCGATCGCCAGCAAGTGCATATATCCGCGCGGTAAATCTCGCCGCTGTTTTCCGTGCGTGCCACCAGTGGACGAAGATGAAGACTACGAATGCGCAAGCGTTCTCAACTCGCACACGCAGGACGTCAAGCACATTGTCTGGCATCCCAACAGCGAGGTAAATTCAAACATATCCCACCTTTTACCTGAGCAGCAGCAGTGGGTTTTAACAATGACTTTCGAAGTTCGGGGGTAAAGGACTTGTGGGGTTTGGATTGCAGTGAATTGTAACCTGTGAAATGCGTACGATTTGGTCGTCTCGGTTGCCGTGCTTGCCGACGGAAAGGTGCTGGCATCGGCAAGCTACGACAACAGCATCCGCCTGTACCGCGATGATGGCGACGACTGGATCAGCTTTGCCACGCTGGAGGGGCACGAGTCGACCGTGTGGAGCATCGACTTCGACGCGACCGGGCGCCGCCTGGTCTCCTGCGGCGATGACAAAACCATACGCATCTGGCAAGAGGGCGCGGCTACCAGCTCGGGGGGTAATACAAACACGCGGAACTCCAGCCGACGCCCTACACACACAGCTTCTCCGTTCACGTTACATGTGAAATATGTTTGTTTGGATGCATTTGTGTTGCAGTCGGCGCCACGTGGGAGTGTGTGTGCACCCTCTCTGGCCATCACACACGAGTCATTTACGACGTCTCTTGGTAAGTCTCTGAAGAAAGGTTGAGACAGTTTACATATTTGCATTACGTATATTTCATTTGCTTGGCTATTCAAACGTACTGTAGACCCACAAACGTACAACTCAAATCGTACAATTTTCTCACATCAAAACCCTTTCTGTTTTGACCCCAAAATACAAATTTCAAACCAGGTGCAAGCTCACGGGCGCCATAGCGACAGCCAGCGGAGATGACACCATCCGAGTGTTTGAGGAGGAGGCTGTGCCAGAAGGCGACGGGAAAAGCCCTCGGTTCTACGAAGCCGCGTGCGTTCGCAAAGCGCACGACCGGGATGTGAACTGCGTGGCGTGGAGCCCCAGTGTCCCGGGGCTGCTGGCGTCGTGCGGCGACGACAGGGTGGTGGCGATCTGGCGCTATGCGAGGGACAGCGCGGCGAGCGAGGCGTGACGGCTGCGTCTGCACTCACATCTTGAGAGAAAACTCGGATCGTTTACTGTCGCCTAATCAATTGAAATTTGACACGCCCGCTGAAGCTCGGTGGTGGTTTTGTTGCTACCGTGCCCATCGCGCACACTTGTACACACGATGTCTGCAAAGCGGCGATAGGTATTGGGGGGGGTTCGATTTTTATTCTGTGCTATGAAATAATAGTGGAGTTGGCTGGTGCTTTCGAGCATGCAGACACCAGGTGTGCCATGGCCAAACCGACTACAACGGAGTGCACATTGAGCCCTCCAGAGTCGTTTTTGTTTGCTTTGTGGTCCCCGAGAGAATGAATATCATGCGCCGGAGACCGGCATCAGCCAAATGGCAGTGTGGTCTCAAGCTTGCGTCATCATGGCTTGGTGTTGTTTGAGACTGTGCAGTTAAGTATTGCGATACGTGGTCTTTTGCAGTCATTTCCACACCAACGGCAAAGGAGATAATACGACTTATAAAGAATAATATAAATGTGTTTCACTCTGGCCAAATTACCTTCTACAGGCTAACACATTAAATGTGTGCATGTTCACACCCATGTGCAAATAATGTCACTAAACACAACTGGGTATACAGCCACAACAACTTACTCGAAATAGACCAGGATAAAACTATTGAATAAGCAGATGAATAACAAATGCTTGGGAGTGTTTTGTGGGGAAATGAATTTGAGAATAAAAAGCAACCGTGATTTGCCTATGGTGGACATTTACTATTAGGCACATTGCATACAGTGACCTTAAAGATCATAGACCTCGACAATGACAAAAGGGAACAAGTACTTAAAGTACACACATAACAATGGAAAGATCCATGCTGCACGTTACACAGAGAGAGAAAGCGAAACATGGATCAGGGGAATGCGCATCAGTCATCGGTGACCTTTAAGAAAAATGCGCTTGGGCATTGCACGTTGCGAGAAGGGTTGATCGTCAGTGGGCAAGGCTGATGACAGAGTGGCAGCCCAGAGGAGGGATCTTGCCTGGGAAAGCAACCAGCAGAGAGATGGGGCGATGAGATTCGCTCATGTGGAGGGAGTGAGATGGATTGTAGTATCTCGGGACTAAAGGGGGTGGGAGGCCTTCATCTAGCAGTAAACAAAACATGGCAGATGGTGACATTGTTTAAAAAGTACTGTCCCCCCCCCCAAAATAAAAGCAATGCATGTCTATTGTGTGAATTTTTTGTTTCTAATTTAATAAACAATTGACCCAATGAAAATATGGATTTGTACATAAAATCGACATTGAGGTAATGTACAAATAATGTTTCAGATCACGTAATGAATTCTTTGTTAAATGTAAGTGCCTAGTCTTTGCCCATACCCTTAAAGCAAACCGCTTTTTTGTTGCGCATTAAATACAATACTCCCACAATTGTGTTATCTATCCTCAATAATCTCATTCCCTCACGGTGGTTGCGGTAACATGGCTGTTGTGGCCCGAAGCAATTTTTTTGGGCGCCGCAGCTGGATACCAGTAAAAGCAGCCGAGATGGTGGGAAAATGAGTGTTGGCTTGCACTCTGACCTCCAGGTTTATTCTGGAACGTGCTGTTTAGTCTGGCAGGATCAGAGGGGAAGCGGTGAGGGGCCTGTCGTTTGCACGCACTTGTTCTGGCCGCCGAATTCTTTTTTTTCTTTTAGCCGAGCTTTGCATGCAATCGCAAAAAACCAGAGCATGTTGAAATTTTTTAAATAATGTTGCTGTGTGCCGTTCACGTGTCATTTGCTTGATAAAGCAAAACAAAACCTTTATTGATAGCTGGTTTGGCCATGTTTGACTTAGTAAAAAGTATACTTTGTCATCTGAAATATTGTACCTGTTACTCCTGGGACATTGATGACATGCACAGCGGGTCCAATTTACCAACATCTCTCAGTACCGTCAGGATGTCCTTTTGGCAAACGCCCCGACATCAGACCCAAGCCCGTCCGCATTTGTAGAGGCGAGCTTAGACATTTTCGCATATCGCTTGACCAGATGCCGTGCGTGCTTCGCATGCCGTCTTTGTGAAATCGCACATTTCACTTAATTTAGCGCTGGAAGAGCCTAATAAAGAAAAGTGTGCCATTCAAACAACGCCAATCACAACGTGGTGTCCTCGGTTTCCCCACTCTGGCAGGGAGTGCAGTTCAATGATGTCTGTTCTCAACGAATTCAAATGGAGCCGCCCGGCCCTGCGGCAGAACTCGGCTGACTAAGGAGAGAGAATTAAACGTCAGGAGAGGGGTCCCTCTTTCAACAAAGAAAAAACGCCGCCCTGTGTTCTTCCGCGAACGCAATAACTTTGAACCAATTAACAAATTGCCTCGTCCTATAAATCACGATCCGCCACGCGTGCTTTCAATTGCACTGCAATCTTAATTTATGTGAGCGGTGGGGTAGCGACGGAGACAGAGGGCATGGTTTCACAGAACCCGTGTTCATATTACTTAATGGCTTTCTAAATGCTAATGCTTTTGTTTACTTTCCTCTTACGTGCAATACAGAACACTATTTATGCACCTACACAGGTGAGACGCAGTTCATGTACGGGGAAAAATAAGATTACAAAAAACGGGCGTTTGGAGAATTGGAGCGATTCAAATTTAAGCACATTATTCATTCCCATCTGCGCTGCTATAATCCGGGTCGTGGAAGAATAACATTAAAACCTGTTTACTGGAGATGTTCATGATTTCCCTTACTATGAAAATCTTGCTTCATTTTAGAATCTCTTATTCCACTAGATTTGTCACCGATCTTTCAGCCACAAAGTATAAATTGCGGTTGATTGCAACCTGCGCAGTGTTTACTAATGTTCCACTTTTTATTTCGGTGGGGGGTGGTTATTTATCTCCGTATAATTCTATTTTCAAATAATTGTTTCGTAAAATCAAAATGCGGACAGTCATCAAGCTCGTTTGCCGATAACAAAGGCCCGTTCTGCCACCCGCTGGTAGAATTTGATTACTACAACTGGAGTCAACACTTTTTGCACGTCCCCATCAGCTTTTGTCCATCCACTGCTGAATGAGGTCGTATTGGTGGAGGTGGTTGGAGTGTTATTGGACCATACTTCACCACGTTGGTCAGTGCTGCTTGATGAAGACGAGGACCATAGAACAGTACACGACAATGCGCTGCTCTGGATTTCAGCTCACTAAGTGGCCCCGCAAATGACAACATTTATACTGGTAGGAACCTCCTGGTAACACCAGCCCACAGGGGATTATTGTGTCCGTCCGTCGTGCAGGGAGGGGCTGGGTGGGGAGGGTAGGGCTGGGTGGGGAGGGTTAGGAGGGGCTGGGTGAAGGGTGGGAGGGGTGGGGCTGGGTGGGGAGGGTGGGGAGGTGCTGGGTGGGGAGGGTGGGGAGGGGCTGGGTGTGGAGGGTGGGGCTGGGTGAGGGGTGGGAGGGGTGGGGCTGGGTGGAGAGGGGCTGGTCACCCCGTGGTGCCCTTATAAAACTCAACGTTTAACCTACTCACGCCGGCTTGTGCCCGCCCTCACAGTAGAGCATATTTGCGGAATACACCACGCCGCCGTTGACCCTGGCCATTGACCGAGCAACCCAACGTTCCTACCAGCTCCCTCCGCAGGAATGTGTTTTTGTGGATGGAGCTCGCACTATCCGGGCACTATCCTGGCTCAAACTTGCTTAGCTTCCGAGATCTTGAAGAGATTTGAAGCTTTAGTGACTGTAGGAATCCATACTCTTCGGTTATTTCGGTAAAGTCACGTAGATAGAAAAATAATTGATCGTTATGGTCGCTTGTATTGCGATCGAAACGTCGTGATCTATGAATCGTCTATCTACGTGACTTTACCGAAAGAACCGAAGAATATCTTGAAGAGATCCTGCACGTTCCGCGTGATTTGGTCGTAGACGGGAATATTGATATCCCTTGTGACAGCAAATATTGGCTCCAGAGTTCACAAAACATGGGATTGTTCGCGTGACGGGCTGTGTATACACCGCTTGTGAGTAATGCTCCATCTGAATGGCACCGCTTCAATTGACACGTCCAGTGGCAATCCGCATTGTCGGCAGGGTTTCCAAAACGTCGTTCCTCGACACAAATTGTATTCGTAAAGGAGGTACATGTGTATAACACGTCGTACCGAATTAACAAAAACACAGTTACACGGACATGTCCCTTAACATGCCTCTCTCCAAATGAAGACAGCCCCCCCCCCGTACTTATTACACAACCCATCAGCCGCACGGCCTCATTTATTTCGTAATTTCTATTCTCCACGACGATGCGAATGATTACGATACACGACTTTGCATTGCCAGCCGGCGACTTCCCCCGCACCTCCGATTGGCACGGGTTGGCTACGTACGGCGCGAAAGAAGTCCAACATTTTTCTTCTTGGTTCTTTCGGTAGTCACGTAGAAGGGAAATAATAAAATAATAAAAATAAAACATAATAAAATAATTCTCACGACGTTTCGACGTCACGCACATGGGGGGGGGGGGGTCAGACATTTGTGACGAGGGGGGCGGGGGGGGGGTGAGAAATGTGACGTCACATCAAAATGAGCAATTTTAAATAAATATAGAATAGTTATAACACAACTAAATTGTTATAACAACACTCCTACAACATCAGAGTGCAGCGCCACATTAAATACGCACTACAATGACAATAGTTTTAAAGCGATTTGAAGCATGTTTTACTTTCAAAATGGAAATATGGTTTTTGGGGGGTGCGGGGGGGGCAGAGCTTTGTGACGTCATATTTGAGGGGGGGGGTCAAAAATCGTCCAAAATCGCGTGACGTCATTTATGGACGGCCCTTTTGACGCGCTGCGTAAGAACGACTTTCCTTTCGTATGCGGGAGAGGCGTGATGTGGCCATGGAGGCTTATTATCCGCTCATTTGCTTTGCTGTTAACGATTGTCATTCCGAATTATGGCCAACCGACGCGAACGTCAACTGGCCACCCTCCCTCCCTCTCCTGTTGTCCAGGGAATGGCGATGCCCAGAATTCCGCCAAAGTTTTCAACGTCGTGGCGCGCTGTGGACGCGAGAGGTCGTCAGCTGACCGAACAAACGACGCCGCAGAATAACTGCACAGCGCTGCAGAGTATCGCCTACGGAGTATAGGGCTGAACGATTTGGGGAGAAATATCTAATTGCGATTTTTCTGACAGATATTGCGATTGCGATTTGAAGTGCGATTGAATTTTTTGAAGTCAAGCTTCAGTTAGATATTCACTGTGTGGTAGATTTAAAGCATGTGATGGGGCATTACCACGTGATACCATCAAAATATGAACTGCTCTGTATATTCTAATGTTTCCAACATGTATTCATTAAAATTATTTAATTGAAATAGAACAATCAAACATAGAACAATTGATAAGCTAAATAAATAAAGTAATTATATTTAAACATTAAACAATTCCAATAAGAAAGTAAGAGGACTTTTCAAATCGCAAAAAATCGCAGCCTTTGCGATTTGCTAATCGCATTGTTTCAAATTGCGATTTCGATTTGAAATCGATTAATCGTCCATAGCCGAACAGTTGACGCTCAACCTCAAGAGGTTTCCATGCTGACAGTCTCGTTATCATCACCACCACCGCCACCTCCTCCATCTGGGTTTAGGTCCTCCCCTTGTTTACAAAGTCGATACATTCCTTCACGGATCGCTCTTACAATCTCATCCACAATCTGATTGTAGGTTTTACTGTTCTCCTGAACTCAGGGTGCCACTGCAAATGCCCTCCACCACCCTGCTGGACACGTGTCCCACCCGTCACATATTAATGTTTTACGACTCTAATATTGCAATATAATAACGATGCTTCTTGTTTTTACACAGTATTCACTCGGGCTTGCGTCGCTGTGTCTCGAAGCTAATTTTCAGAAATGTCTTGCATTGGGACATTTTGTCAGTTCTATTAATATGAGTGGTTGGTCATGCGAGTGGAAACTGGGGAAAACCCACCGCATATAAAGGAGATAACACTCGAAGGTCCGGCCCTCACCTCACAGATAAATTCAATCCACAGAACCAATGAAGTCAATGTGTGATTAACCGATTTGCTGATAGGGCCATCTCCTGGCCACCTCGCAGCCTGCAACACATCCACAACACTCCCTCTCAATGCTCTATTCCTAACTTAGAAATTTTCTTACCCTATGTACTGTACGTACGTTGGACTTCTTTCGCA